ATACGCAATGTTGCTAAAAAATTTTTTCAAAMCCCCAAAAACTAATAGAAATTCAAAAAAGCGAGAACTTTAAACATTTTCTTGACAAATTTTATGAATTCTTGCCCGTTTATTAGAGAACATTTGAGCGAAATATTATATTTMAATAACTCATTCAAATCATAAAAGCTTTTCCAGATACAGCTTTTTTAATTCAGTATATAATACTCACACTCAAGCGACTATCATTGGAGGTGACTATAAACAATATCTAGAGTGCTTAAGCTTGTGTAAACATTGAAATGTGTATGTGCCAAACTGTCCCACACCACCATTCTTCCCYATACCATCAAACGGCAAATGACTTCAATGGCTTTGGCCTTGGAAACGCTTTCAACGTTTTCAACGTTCATTGACCTAACTATTAGTACATACATATGTATGAATATAGCTTTCGTTGATATGTCTGAATATTTTTAGGCACTTGTACATATGTATTTTGAATTTGTGCGAATTTGACCCAATAAAAATTAATAATGGTAGAGTGTGGGTATTCTATATACTATGCTGAATTTTTGACACTGTTATCAGTTCCATAATGAAATGATTATTCATACGTATGTATATATTAATCTATACATATATTTCGATACTTTTTTTCTAAGTTTGTAGAAATACGGATTTCCTATTGTTCCTTCAAATGATAATACATAATTTATAGATTTAAAAAAAGATTGTCTAAAAAGGTATAAACACAAGTTACAGTCTAATTACAAATGTATTTGTAGTTGCTCTCGAAATGCCATGAAGAAACTAATCGATTCAAAAAGTTCTCTCTCACCTTCAACGGGTTTTCGGGAGTAAACACTTAAATTTATTTCGCTTACCGGCTAGAACATGTTCAATCAGTCCTACTCCACCATGTGTAGCTTTGGTTACAGTCATTATTATTAATTTTTTTGGTTGAAATTCGATTTTTTTATTCGCTCGAAACTTGTTTGTTCATATACGATAATTAGATAGCGATATCTTCCGCAATATTCATTATTTATTTTTACGGAAAAGTTAAAATTATTTACACAAAAATTAATATTTTTCACTTGTATTTACGTGCAAGTATTCGTAATGTCTATCGCTCACTTAGTTTTTCATTGTTAATTGAGTTGTACTTTGTGCCAAATCTTTGTCGGTAAACTTATTGGCATTCAAAGTCGGTAAATTATTAACATTATGTTCTTGCACTTCTATCTTGTTGCTTTTCGTACATACGTATACATTATTTTAATACACTTTGAATCACCACACCTCTAGACGGGATGTTCATAAAAGCATCTTGCACTAAATTTACGAAAATGTATTCACCAAAAATATTTTTCTCGATAAAATATACAACGTTGTGCTGTCCTGTGAAACTGATAGAATAAAAATCTGCAGTTCATGTTAGAAATAGCATTGGCGAATGAGTACTTGCAAGTTTTTGTCTTATTCGTTATGTTGTTCTACGAAAAGCTTAAAAGCTTTTACCATTAAGCTTGATTTGTGTTAACTAAATGAAAGCGCAAACGAAGAATATATTTAGTGAATATTGGACATATTTTTTTCTTTTGATAATAAAATTTAACTTTTCGTTTATTATTATTTTGCACCTGTCTTTCGAAGTGTACTTCTCTTGGCTTGCTCAAAAAACTATTTCCAATGTTTATAAACTTCTTTGCAAGTCTTACTTCGTAACAACACGTTTTAACGTATTAAAAAATACAATCATATAGAAGTAATACTATATACTATATTTGAGAAACTAATCAGTATGACAAAAATTACATCCTACATACATTTTAAAACATTGTTTTGATAGACAGTCATAATATTTTGCACAACATGTCGAGAGAGTAAAACAAGGAAGTACCTGTACTACAATAATAATGTGTGAGGATTATTAGAGAGCATAAGAAAATTAGTATGCATATGTATCGTATATACAAAATTCCACTTGGCCCAGATAATTTTCGAAGGCCACACGTTATCAGCGGTCGTTCACCTGTCAAACACTAACACTTACTACACTCGTTCTAGCAAGCTTTGCTCTTGTATACTACAATTTATTTCAAATAAATAAAACTCGTTTTCTGAGTAACGACACAAAACAAATAAAAGAGGAATATGTTGCCAATATGCCTATTTAGTTTTTCTTACAAAATTAACTTTTTTTGGCAGATGTATTGGCAAATTATTCCTTCCTAAAATAGTATACCAATACACAGTGTATTTTGAAAAACTTTGTTGTTTCTTATTACTATTGCTTTAGAGAAATAACACTACAAAATAGTTGATTCGTTGGTTGAAAAGGGAAATTCAGTAGCACCAGTCCGCAGGTGGCCACACATAAGTCACCATTAAGTATCACTAAATTGAATAGTTAGTTAAGTTTATTTATGTAAAGATCTTCTAAGAGAAATTCTTTTACGCATATTTTAAATAGTAAAAGTTAAAACACATATTCATATAAAAATTTTAATTTATATACATACATACATAATTATATTATGAATAATACTTTATCAGCAGCTTGTAATTTCAAAAGCCCTCAGCGATTAGAGCTTTCTTAGTGAACTTATTACATATTTACAGATTTATGTGCTTTTAGTAGCATGTCCATGATGCAGTTTTGCATTTATATATATGGTTTATTATGCATATTTGTGGACTGTAACTGCAATTACTGTTAAAATAGCTATAAACTTGCAGTAGTAGAAGGGTATTACAGACTCGATAAAAGCTTTCAGTCTGCAAAAAGTTTTTGATAGTTTTATAGAAAAAGTAAAAATATGAATAAATTTTCATGTTATGTACATACATGTATGCATGTATGCGTTTTTTTGCCAAAAGGTATATAGTAGTATTCACGATAGTAAAGTAACATTTTTATTGAATTGATATAATATAAATTTCCTACGTTGTTCACATTTTAAAATCTTAAAAAAAAGTTCATATAGAAACTTATAACATATTATTTATTCGATATCTACATATTAGATAATTTGAAAAGACATTTTTCCTAGTCACGTTAAGATAACTTTCTTTCACACAACAAATTTAAATCTGAAATCGCTCATTAACTAAGTAAACGCTAGAATATACCAATAGGTATTGAAATTGTTAACGAATAAAAAAATTCTACTATTGTTTTGAGGAAAAGACACATGTAAGTTGTAGCCAAAATTTTTTACCATATTTTTCGCCAAGATTCTTACAAAAATAAATTTCTCACAGTGCTCTTAATAAACCTGTTTATCTGAGTTGTCTGCAAAAATGTATATCATCTGTATATAATAATATATATATGTATATGTATATCCAGACAAAATTGAGAGGAAAACCCGTTCTCAACTCTAAAGTATCTAAATTCTACATTCACCTTCATGAACTTCCGTGCTTCTAGTAGGGAAATATTTTAACAGACATGCGCACTTTTACTGCTCGCTTGCTCATTTCGTTTTGGTTTTAAATTGTTTGCTCAATTTCAAAGGTAAATATATACGTATACATATTCTCTCTGTATTGTTTTTATTTACATATATATATATATATATATTAATATATACAAGGCTTTTTTGAATATACATTCTTATGTATTTGCAAATGTATACTTTATTACTTTCATAYGGCAAACGTATTCAGAATGAGAGAAAATGAAAGAGAATTGTAACTAATTTACTCTTCGCTTTCTTTGTGTGGGCGCACGTGTGCTTTTTGACTAAATATTTGCTTGTGGTAGTGTGACATTGACATTGAATTTTTTAAAATATCGTATATGGCCATTGTACATTTGTACATAATGCATACGCATGACTTAAGCCTGTTGTATTTAATATATATAACATATATTAATATTTTTTACTTCATTTTTTTGAGCATAAAATTCATCAAACTCCTCTGCCCATTTATAATTATAACGAAATAATTTGTTTTCAACGACGTTTCCAGATTAGCAATTTAAGGTAATCTCGCAAATGTAAAAGCCTTTTTATCTTTTTATACCAGTTTATACCAGTTTACATATGTTATGTACATAACTAGATATATTGGACTAAGTGATCGTATACATCGACGACATATGGTTTGAGGTAGATGAAAAATATAATTGTTATCCATCCATAATTTAGTCGAATAATGAATTTTGAATTCTTAAAAACATTTTGTTCCGTTTCACCCGAACTTATCCCTTCATTCTTGTATATCCTGAACATTGCATATTAAGCTTGCCACGAATGACACATCCACAGGTTCAGAGTGACTAGCTGATTCGATTTTGTCCGTTTGTATTTACACGAAGTAGTCCCACAGTTTTGAAGGTATCGATCTGAAATTTTACGCAGGTTCTTTTCTTCCTAAGACGCCGCTTATTTGTCGGAACTATCGGACCATTATAGCTAAAATCTGTTATACGAGCAAACAACCAAAACCAAGTGCTTTTATGGAAAACTTTTTTATTTTACAAGATATCTTCTTGAAATTGTGTTTAGCATAAAGGGTAAGATAGTGCAACAATCATCCAAAATTTTTTTACATACGTCTACTTAGMACTTCTATATAAACTAAAGGATCAAAATAAGTTCTTGTATAGTTCGTAACAATGTACAAACAAATGCAGTCACTGCTGGGAATATCTGATATACATACCATACTGACCGATCACAATCAATAATTTAAATACAAAGTGAACAGTTATATGTATGTATTTAGTAATCCACTGTTSGCAAAGGTATATTTTATAATAATTATTTTATTACATCAGGGTCAGCAAGTTTTATTGCAATGCACAGCTTCAAACATGTATCGATGCAGTCTATTTGTAGATTAATCCATTACAATTTGGAAACTCTACGAGTTTCCTGATAAAAGTTATATATTATATATAATAATTATTTGGTATATGACTGACTTATTGGTCTTTAAAATATGTAAGTTCTCCAAAAATAAAGATTAAGCGAGAATATACGTACGTGTGTCTTTAAACTTACCCAAATCTGGAATTGAGCTGGACGGCTCCTCGCTAGTGGAAGTTCCCCCATTGTTGCTAGTGGGTAAAGTGATAGAAGAGCATGAGTTTTTSATCTTTGGAGGTGGTGGTGGAGGCGGCCGCATGGCAGTGTTGTTGTGGCTATGAAATTGTTGGTCGTTGGTGCCAATATTAGTGCATCTACTGCTACTAGTAACAACAGGTAAACGAAAATTTCGAGGTCCAGTTGATGTTGAAGAAGATGTGGCAGCTGTCAATTGTAACGAAGTATTTCCATCTTCTTGATATTGGGGAATTTGGTGCTTGTGTTGAAYAAATTTAACATGTTGTTGCCGTAGAATGCTTGTTGGTATTAAGCTCGATTGTGGTGTATTAGTGGTAACAATATATTTTCGTGCTGATGATGAAAGTGCATACCGGTGCGAATGGGAATTACTTAGTGTTGTCGAAGGAGTTTCCATCAAAACTTGGGTGGATGATGGATCCGTTGCAATAACCGACGCATGAAGAGATGTCGAAGATGGAAGAGGAGGAGAAATCATTTTTTTCCTTTGAAAGTGTCCTAAGGTGTCTGATATATGAATTTCATGTTTGTTATTATCAACCATTACTTGTGAATGCCCTTGATGCTTTTCAATAGTTTGTTGTTGGAATAAAGATGATGTCGGAATATCTTGTGGGGAAATAGAATATCGACGAGATACAACAGGTGAAATGGGAGCAGATCGAGATTGGTGATGGTGTAACAACGGAGGGGGAGATTCGGATTGTCTAGTAGAGTGAACTGGTCTTGGAGCAGCTTCTTCATATAATCGACCATCTCTTATAACCCGTACATGATGTTGTAAGGACAACGGTGGTGGTGATGGTTGCGGCGAACGATGTGATGAATATTGTTGTAAAGTTCGAAGAGATGGAGGTGGAGAAGAAGATACACAATCCGAATTATTACTTAAACTTGCAAAAGATGGATTCCCTTCACAATGTGAAGGACTTGCAGAATGACGACGCTGTAAAGGAGTAGGAGACACAATATTTGATGGTTGACGGGAAATTATAATCTGAGGTCCAGGTATGGAATCCGATGGTTGGCGCTGTAAAACTCGTTGTTCTATTCGCGCACTTGTATGGAAAGAATGTGGAGACTGAGATTGGTCTCTGGAAATGTTCTGTTGGGAAGTATAAGCTTGCCTTATGATATTACCAATATCACTTCCCCCATCGCTAGATGTGGACCTATTAATCACCTCCAAACGTGGGGTCAATGTAACTTTTTGTATAGCATTAGAATTATTCAGTAAATTTACTCCCGGTTGCCTCGGTTGGACAGTTTGTATCTGCACGTGTTGGTAATTCACTGAAGGTGCTATTGTCGACTTCAGTACAGTTTCATTTACTTTTGACTTTTTCATTAATTTAGTTTGCGTTATATTTTCTAAACGATATTCTTTTGAATCGTTTGATTCCACATATGCCATTTCTAAATCAATAGGCTCTGTTTTAATCAATTTTATATATGACAAATTATTCTTAGCAGAAATATTTTTATCAGAACAGGGCCCCGTTTCTGTTGATACTTGACTATTAGCGTTAACTAGACCATCGGTTGCGTCAATATATTTAAATCTCTTAAGCATTGTGTATGTTGTAATTATATTACGAAAACAAAGGATATTTCAATGCATATAAAGTGATTATGCAAATAAAATCCCAGACAGAGAATATGGTAAAATGTTGGCTTGGCCTCTATTGTTTTTCTGTAAACACTATTCGATCTTTTTTTTATATATTTTAGCTTTAACCGCCTTAGACACTACTTAGACTATTTTCAAAACTTAATGTTATAGTCAGTCTCATTTATTCAGCTTTATTTGGTTGTGTTGACTGTGTCCTAGATACCACTTTCATAAAGATTTCACTTTTTATTATCGTGTTCTGCCTTTGTATAATTACCAAGAATCCTAAAATTTCAGCCTTCTAGTTTCAATATAAATATATTTATATTTTTTCACTTTCCCTTACATTAAATCTAAAACTTAAATTTATTTCCATTGGCTTTATCCACAATATATCCATTAGACAATTTTGCCATAAAATATGTATATATTATTCTTATAAATCCTTCCTCCTTAGATCACGAAGAATGTAGTATTCTTATCATTTTATTCACAGTATTTTAAAAACTGTATGTGATTTCGTTGATACCCTTTGATTAGATGTTTGGTAAAGCGGTTACATCTGAAAATTATTAAAATTATGGACTGCATTAGTAAAAAAATATATTTATATACACAGTAGATAGATTTAATGTAAAGATGTATTCTAAAGCACTAGGTTATAATTTATGTAACATAATTATTAATAAGTCTGCTTAGATAAAAAAACATATATGTAAGCGTATATACATACATATATACATGGTATTTAAATATTATTAATCAATACTCACAAATATAAAGGCATTATTCTGTACTCCAATTTTGGTACTTAATTTAAACATAGCAGCACACGAAATATCCTTGTCTTTACACAGTAGTATTTATATTTGGGTTTATTATATTTCATTTATTTATTATATTTTTTCGGTATTAAGGTAATTTATTATCTCTACATATTTTATATATGAAGTAGTCTGCCATTTTTAATATTTTCGAAAAATACTTTTTATAGATCCTGAGTTACTAGATATTACAAAGTACACTTACTAATCTTTTAACAACAGCAGACGAAGAACGTATATTTAATAAAGTATATGTATATTTTTTCATTATATGTATGTACATGAGTAGATAATAGTTCACAGTACTTTTATGGTATTTGTTGGTTTTTTATGACACATTTTTATTCACTATTAAAATTAATCAGATCTTTTAATGATAATATATTTTTTATACATACTACGAATTGAAATACAATTATAAAAGTTATACCACGTATCTTTTTTTTGTAATGGAAATGAAATGGGTATGTACGGATAGAGGAGATCCTTCATGATTAAGAAAAAATAAATAAATATATACAAATATATGTAGTTGCAGCAGACTTATTTTTTTTTTTGTGATATTTGCATTTAAGGTTCAAAAACTCCACTATTTAAAATGCTTATTTCTCCGATTTTTAATGAGATTTACACACATACTTTTAATATTTTTTTTATCCATTAACACTTCACTAACAATGTATTTTTTTTTAATYTGGAGAACCTCCTCTATCACATACCCATTTCAACCCCGAAATCGGGGAATGCTATTATAAATCCCAGCCGTTGGTAATATAATATTTGACAATAATGTATGTATGTCAACAAAGCAATATTCACTATTGTTGGTTGTCAAAATGCCATTGTATTCTTCTTTGCATTTAAAATCAGGAATTGTAAATTCTATTAAACACTGACATTGTTAATTACAGCTGCTTTTATTTTAAAACTTAAAGTAATTAATTTATTGAAAAGTAAGAAAACAAAAGCTGGTATTTATTTAAACATTTCTTTGAGCGGTTTCTGCTTCTACAAAAATGCTATTACGCCTGTGAAACTCACATGACAAATGTCTGAAACTACTATTTTCATTTACCAAGGAATTATGCTGGTATTTTCTCTAAAACGAAACATCACAATCTTATATCATATAGACAATCATTTCTGATAATGATTATTATAGAAAATAATTTATTTATATTAATAAACAATTGTATATTGAAATGCATACAAAATTGTTCACTGTTTACTAGACCCAAGTAACTTTCGGTAAAATATGTGAAAATAAATCAAAACATCTGTATGTGTGTTTAGCAGATAACCGAATCACAGCAATAGTGCCGCAGCGACGCCGGTTTGACCATGAGAGACAGAAAATTCGCTTGACACTGACATTACTAGTCTTTCGCAAATGTATAAGTTGGGAGGAAAACTGGCATTGAATGGCAGCTATAGCTAAATACCGCCAAGGACAAGGTCGTGCTTGGCCCATACAAATTCTCTCAGTGCGTTATTTATTTTTGATTTTATATTTATAATAATTTTATTATTCCTTACACTTTTCCAACAATTTATTTCAATTTTGTTTTTTACATTAATTAGATTTCATATTAGTTTTCACTCTTTTTCACATAACTTTTTTACATGTGCATATTGTATTTACTTTACCAAATGTATTTCTACTGGAATAACCAAACTTTTGGAATACACAATTAATTTATCACATTTTTTAATATATTTTTTATCCAATTGCAGTGGTCATTCGTATACAATTGAAATTGCTTAAGTAATTAAACCAACCAAAGCTGTTGCCGTACTTTCTCTTACTGACTAAGTGCTGGTCTCAGTACCGTCATCATAGTTGTATTTCAAGTATGTTAATGTATTGTATGTAGATACGTGTGTCTGCAGTCGATGTGGTAAATCAGCATTGTTCTCAGTTCTCGGAACTTAAAATAGTTGTTAATACATACAAACATAAAAAGCAGAGATTGAACCAATGAATTTCGCAATGTTCATGCAAAAGTAGGCATGTGTCTATGAGAATAAATGGCACCAAATAAAGAGAACCCACAAACTCGCCTTATAAAATTGGAGATTCGCAGCTGCAAAAGCATTACAGACAAGAGATATTTCGTCAGAAAATAGACTATTCTTGTACCATGTTATCGCACTCCCTTAAGACTTTACTTTCCTATTGTACAATGAAAGTGAAACCCTGAGATAACTTACACAAATATGAGCGAGAAGAGAAAACCAYGAGAACCAAAGAGTCGAAGCTCGTTTAGTAGATAAAGGAATAAATAACCCAGAACAGGAAGTCTAGCGGCAGTACTCATTATTGTTGTCTTTAATATCTACATACATACAAGGCATAGCTAAAAGTTGCATTGTTGTTTTTTTTCAATAACACAAATTCAAGTTCACTACCACAAGTAACAAATAGTTTGCTTTGCGCACAACATGTTATATTGTATCATACGTTTTCATACAAATAAGTATATCAAACAAGTGCATTCACTCTGAAAGATTAGTGAATCTCATGTGAGAGGGAAATATACAATCGCATAAAATTTTGGCTCTCAGATACGACTTGTTCTCACCGATTTCAACGGCCAAATGGATACCGCGTTGAAATATACATATGTTAATATACTATACTATAAAAAGTAAGGAGAAGTTTACTCTGGTCGAAATCGAAAATTGCATACAGTATTCGTTGTTATAATATTAAGTCAATACCAAAAGGTATATTTTTTAAATGGCTTTGAAATATGTGTGTACGTATACGTAAAAAGACGAAAGGGGTATAATGAATGCATATCTATAGTAAGAATATTATTTTCATGTCCAAAAAATAATATTTTTTTTTTAATTCAATGACAGCAATATTAAATGGTAGTCAAATAGTCGGATTGCATATAGTTGCAAAATATAATTCAATAATACTAYGCATATTTTGTCCATGAATTAGGACATTTCTTACCACTTACACACATTCTTATATACAATTAAGTACTAATTATATTTATGTTTACTAACTGATGTTAGTAAATGCAGACTTTGAAAAATCTTTAAAATGTGAGTTTTACTCTATTATAGAGAAATAAAGATTTAAATATGGAAATCAGTTTGCAACCTTGTGAAAATAGAAAAAATATTCAAAGTATGTACATATGTAAATACTAAATTATCGTATAAGACCAATAAAAATGCCTTAGTCGTTTTATATATGCTTTTGAATTTTAAAACTGCACATTTTAATTTATCCAGTGCACGTAATACTTATTTACTAGAATACACTGGCATGTGTCCATGCGCGAATTCTGCGAGGGCTTCTAATGAACTGCATCAGGCGATGCTCATGAAGAAACGAGTACATCTACCCACTGACCTTAACATTGATCCGATGCACATGAGGGTTAGTTAAGCATTATGAGAGTAAGTGCGCTCCTGGGTTGCTCTCTAATAATAATGATATCAAATTAGCTGATAGCTACCACATTTATAACATATGTATGTATATATTTAAGAATATTGTTACTATGTATATTAAGGAAGCTAGAGTCCCTTTAGAGTTTGGCACACACTATATGAAACTACATATATTATATTGAAATTTTTACTCATGAAAGTGTATATGTATTATCTATAAAAACCTTCATGACCATGAAACGGCTTGTTCATAAACCCAAAATATCCATCATTATTTAGACTAAAATGTGTGCAAAAGTTATTCTGGCTGCAAGTTAGAATGTAATTTTTATATTAAGTTATCTAGTTATGATTAGTAAATCATCCCAACCCAAAATGCGGTAATAAGTTATTAAATTACTAATTTGAGAACATATACCACAATTAAGTAATATAAATATCCAGGTGGAAAAATTGAAAAATAAATATGAATTATTCCTCTTAATGTAATATGCACAATGAATTTGAAAATAATGTTACAATATTTCTGCAGTTTTCTTTGTTATTGTCCACCTTGAAATTAAAATCTGATTGTTTGTAATTCTACAAAAACGTATAAACACTTGACTATTTTACTAATGCTTAACACACGTCAAATATATCGTATCGATAATATTTCAGATATATCGGACAAAGACATACAAACGTAGACACAAGTATGTACATATATACATATACACATATAATATGTCTCCAGACATGTGAATGATAATAGGATATTTAGCGATCGCCAATGAAATTCAAGTTAATGCTTATTATTTATAATACTAACTTTTAATGCTTCTTTATAYAAACACTAAAGAAGGATAAGGCGTGTAAATATATCAAATCATTTATTAAAGGTAAAACTAGTCGAAGTAAGAGAAAGCACTATAAATTGTTTACAATTTTACCAAATACTATGTTTTTTAACAATATTTTGCTCTCCACCCAATTTTTTCTGTTCACTTATTTTGCTTAAACTTTAGAAGAACAACACTATTTATGTATGCCATATTTTGCATATTTATATCACTGAAATATTGAAAAATTTCAGACATGTAAATTAATAAACTACTACCATATATAATATGAACGACTTGATGTCGCTTCTGCGACTAACCTTGCAAGTAGCGTCAGAACTCTAAACCCATTGAATCAACTCATGTACAATGTACAAATCTGCACCAACCGTCAGGCGCCTGTCAAACAAACAAGTGAGTAAACAAATGGGTGTGCAGCAGCGCAGCGGGCAATGAAACTCAGAACAACGCCGGCATATAGGTTTAAGTTGCAAAGAGTGTGGGTAGGTCGGGACGCTCAGGCAATTTAGCACAAAGTAGAGTGGGAGCAGACAAAGTAGATAGAGGCGGATGAATACCAGCCCGAGTTGAACGCGCTCACAAACATTTACGGAACTGCATTTATGACAAAAAACTTATACATATAGAGAGCTGAATGTTTGTGTGAAAGCACCACACAAAACGCAGCTAAGAGAAGTCAACGAATTCGTCCAGACACAGGGATCACGCAAGCATGAGGGCATACATCCATATGTACAGGGTTAGATATGTATTAAAATGGGAGGCAAGTTCAATGAACAACACCAGCCCTATAACATTGAGCATTGTAAAACAGTATTTTAGTGTATATACATGTGTGTACATATGTATGTATATATAGACCATCTTCGCTTTTYCTAAAAAGTATTGCAGTAAGGGATGTTATTGCATGTGTTTTAGGGTTTCCATTTTTTTTTTCGAATGTGTCATGGACAACTGCAAAGGTATACTTACTAGAAACTATATTTACACAATGTTAAGCACAATAAGTTTTAAAAAGTATGCAATTTGTCCGTCCGACGGTTGTTATWGATTATACCGAATATTAGGATTATACAT